TTCTCAAGAGAAACAAAGAAAAGAGATGTTTTTTTTCCCTTCTCTAAATCAATCATTTATAAACAGTGAGATAAGACTGTGGATGTTGCAACAAAATACAATAGTCTCTGTTCATTCATTCCTTCCACTAATTTCACTTTCCTTTCTTCCTAAAAACAGAGACATGCATCAAAATTTACAAAAGTTATAGTATTTCCTGTTCATAGATATGCAAGTAATAAGATTTGTCTACAATATATTTTCTCCACGCATGAACAAATAAAGGGTCTGTTATCAGAGCTATGATATAAACTAACAACATTCATCCTGTAATGTGGACAACATATTAAAGCAATAAGCCATGAGAAGCTGTGCGTTACATAGATTTTACCTTGGGTAATGGTGGTCTTTACCATGTGATTTGTGGTAAGTTCACTGTAATGCAGGCCTTAAAGAGAAAGTTCACCCAAAAATGAAAATTCTGTCATCATTTACTACACAAACAGGTGCTGGTCCCCACTGACTTCCATAGTATGGAAAAAAAAATACTATGGAAGTCAAAAGGGACCAGAAACTGTTTGCTTTCCCACATTCTTCAAAATATCTTCTCATATGTTCTGCAGAAGAAAGAAACTTGAGGGTGAGGGGCATTTTCATTTTTGGTTGAACTATCCCTTTTAAGTGGTGCATTGCTTTTATAAAATTGCAGCAACAATTTGAAAAAAAAATAAATAAATAACAAAACAATAAACAACTAAATAAAACAATTTTAATTGAATTTTTCATAATTGACAGGACATAACTGACACAACTATTTTACTTTACACTACCATACAAAATTTGGAGGTTGTAAATTTATTTGATTTATTTATCATTTTTTAAAGACTTTTTGTTTTTGTGGAAACTGTGATACTTTTTTAAGGATTCTTTGATGAATAGACAGTTCAACAGAACCTGGAATGCCCATAAGCACAACACCTCCTTATATGTCCTGTCCATTTCACTACCCTCTGTGCCAATGTCAACAAATGTTTACTTGGTGCGTTATGAATTTCACCAGAGAATGGGTAGGTAGTCAAAATATTCTTCATTATTATCATGACTCTAACTGATATGTGGTTTTGTTCCATGGCTCAACTAACCTGAACCAGCCTCCAGGACTCTGCTATGATGGCATACTGAACACGGTTCAATGCGAAACCATCGATCTCCTTCCTGAGTCGCACAGGTGCCTGCCCGACATCCGTCATCAGTGAGTAAGCAACATCCATTACAGCAGGCAGTGTTTCGGGGTGTGGCACCAGCTCCACCAGACGCACATAGTAGGGCGGGTTTACCTGTGAGGTTCAAAACAAGAAGGAAATGACACCAGTTTGTTTGCCCCTGGACACAGATAAAGCACTATACTAATGTGTTTACTGGAGCTAGAGATAATGGCCTTGTACTGAACTTCTTTCCCACTATGAAGGTCTCTCTTGTCTAAATGTCTGACCACAAATGCTTGGCATTCATGATTAAACATTCACTTAATGCAAGTGAAGGTGAACTATTTGCCTCACACTGCTTTGAAGGACAACATGACCAGCAAGACCTTGCTGCTCATGAGATCAGAGTGGAATTTCCATTAAGCATGGAAGGATTCAAAGTCCAGTAAAGCCCCCTGGGCCTAAAACACTCCACATCTCCATTCTTCACTACAGGCTGCTAAATCAGGACTGACATATCCATGTAAATAATGCTTTCATTAAATAAACATAAATAGTAGCACTAAAACTAAAACATGAATGTTGTAAAACCATTTGAAAAAAAAAAATTGTTATTTGCGGTAATTGCAGAAAACTGAACTGAAGTATATGTGTATCAAATGAACTGTCAAACATACTGGCAGTGGCAATCCTTTTTTATTTTAAATCATTTTCATTATTTATTTATTTTTGCATCATAATTTCTTTCAAAAACAATTCCAAAGGCCTAAAAATTTGATTTGTGCATCAAACTTGTGCATCTCCACAGTGTATATATAATATAATCTCTCACAGACTGTAAACATAACTAACCGGATGAGAAATGATGCACCGAGTTCGGTTCTGGACACGAGAGAACACGTTGCTTGGCATCAGGCAGGAAGTGGAGCTGCTGAGAATCACGCTTTCTGTGACAAGATTCTCCACCTCATGGAAGACAGTCTGCTTTGCTTCCAGGTCCTCAAACACACACTCCTATTCACAGAAAACACACAGAGGACAAGAGCAGATAATGGTCAACAATATAGCAAAGGGACTGTATGAAATGTACTATAATTTAAGCTGTAGCAACATCTTTTCCATACGAGCACAAAAAAAGTACAAGAAGAAAACACAAGAGCGGAAAAAATGAATGGCAGTGGAATGGGCTGAAAAAATATGATGTGAATAATTATAAAAGGGCCATATTTTCCCAAGGCTGATAAAACAGACAGGAATATTCACTCACGCTTCTTTAATCATTTAGCAGGAAAGCTTTTTAGTCAGAGTTGCTATGAAACTGAAGTAAGGACAGATAATCACTTCCATATTGAGACGTACATACAAAATGATTGGAGAAACCCAGAATACGTCACCAGAGAGAAGATCCAGTTATGACATTTTAAATCAAAAGGTAATTTTTTTAATGGAACATATACGTTAATAAATCATTTACAATAAGATCTATAACATAATAAAAAAAATAGATGAATTTGTGAATGGTGAATTTTCACTTCATGCTGACTTTAAGAATGGGAAGATTTTAGAAAAAAAGCACACAAACCGCTAAAATAAATTATATAACTTTAATGGCATATTATAATATCGCAAATACAGCATCAGCACATAACAGGACTATATGGCGTCATTAAATGTTGACGTCATCATAACTGGGAAAAACAGAAACCATCAGCTGTCACTGAATGTAGTACACAGGAAAAATGCATGATCAGATACATCACCTCATCCATCTTTATGAATGTTTATGGGAGGGGGAAAAGGAATTTCCAATAGCAAACAGAGGTTTGGCTCCAAAGTGTTCAATACATTTTAATAATTAAACACAGGTGCAATTTCAATAGTTAATCACATTAACTCATGGAATGTTCAAACAGTTGCAGACGTAAAACCACAGACATGTCTTCTGGTTTCATGTGCTTTTTTTTGTGCACATTAAAACAATTAAATGTAAAATAATGAATTTGGTACTTGTCATTAGTGAACACTCTTTCTTGTCTTCACATTAAATAATTGTTGCTTTCGTTCCATACATATCAGGGAGATGTTTATCCGGCCCAGTCACATTTTTGGGTCAACGGGAAGTCATCTAAGTTTGAGGGGAAACCGTACCTGGACAAAGAAAGCTCCCTCCAGGGCCTGCAGCAGGTCATCATGACTGCTGAGTAGACTCAACTGCTCTGCAGCCGTGAGATTTCCTCTCAGCATTTTGGCTTGCTGAAGCTCCTCAATCTGTTTCCTGCTCACACACGAAAACACATTATTCATCTTAAATTCAACAAAATGTATACAAAATCTGACAGCTGTTCTGTCCAAATACAATGTTTTAATGATGGTTTATGACTGACAAGACATCGGTTTCAGATGTAAATTATGTCTTTAAAAAACACTTTTTACTTTAACTGAAGCAACTCTGCATGCGTCACAGAAGATTACTGTTTTTTGTGTCCTAATCTGTCATTGCTGCATTCTAGCCAGGGCACCTACACTGTAAAACATGATTTTTTTTTTAAATTTGTAAATAAAAGAAAAATGATTGTACTGTAGAGCGTTTTACTAGAAAATACTATTTCAGTTTTTCTAATTCAATGTGTTTCTTTGTAACTGTTTGTGAAATTTACTAGTGAAACTTGTTTCTACACATCTTTTAATTCATATCTAGGAAAGAGAAAGCCCTGCATCTCCCCCTGGTGACAGAAGAGGTGAATCAAGGAAGAGGGTTATTTACACAACATAAACAGATATGGACAGAGAGTACTAATATATTCTAGAAAACTTCAATTTGTGCATATTTTTTTCTTTGCATATTATGCCCTCTCTTTTATTCTATTGATCTCCTCGGACCATTGCTTTATGTAAGGTTGTGCCATAAAAATGGGTCACAAACCTGCTCTGACAAAAGTTGAGCAGCGATGCTAAAGGCAGAGAATCTGACTGAGGGGTCAACAGGTCATTTTTCTTTCCTGTTTAAAACTGACCTGATCTCTGTGATGGCCCCTGATGCTTGTCCTGGTATGTTGTCATAGATATTGACCATGTATCCTCCACTCATAAACACCATGGCCCAGGAGCGGCCGATCAGCCCACTTTATTATGCAACATACATGCAATTAGGAAAGAGACAGCACAGTAAATAAATCAAATAAAAATGCAGATCAAGGAGTCTGTTAACATTAGTGAAAATCAATGCTTTATCTACATACCAAAATGAGGAACATGTCAGACTACTTAAACAGGAACTTTAATATTGCATGACAAATAAAAATAATATGACTTTGATGATCATGCATGAAAACCCCCCTGTAAAATAGAGTAATAACCTTATTTGTACAAGCCAAAACCTACCCAAAATATGTCAAATAAACACAAATAACGAGTCGCGTGATCATTTAATTTAGGTCATAAATCACTGCACTGTTCATTTTTTACATGCACTTTTCTGATATGGAGTAATGTATTCATAAACACAATCACAGTAGCGTTCAAAGACCACTCAGCTATTCTGTTAGACAATTTCAGAAACACGTCTGCCAAAACTAACAGACTGATTAAACAAAGTAACTCTCACCTCCCGACAACAGTAATAATCTTTCCTTTTAATGAACTCATCGCAAACCCCTTTACAAATGTCAAAACTCAGTCAGCTACTTCGTAGGAGCACAATATCACCAGACTTCAGCTTGTCATGTGCACGAAAGAGAGGCGGAGCTACGGCGTCTCACACGCGCCTAAATACATCAGGACTTTTACAGAAGGATATTTCCTTGGATTGCAGCGCAGAAGGCGTTCATACGTGCATTCAGATATGTAATGTTAAAAAAAAAACATAGACACAAATATAATTAATGCCAACCAATAGCGAAACACAGCATATTTTAATGGGTAGCATTTGACAGAACGCTGTCTCTGTATCCTAGCAACCGACGTGTTGATGAGCGTAGTCAGTGAGCTGTAACGTTAGCTGCTGTTGGGCTAACGTTACATACATGGTTTTCGGGATATTTCAATTTAATACGGCTATTAATTTGCACTTTTCTTTGGTAAGCAAACTGCTCTGTTAACCAGGTAAGTAAAACTATCGTAATTTACAAACCTTAGATGTTGGCAGTTAAATTGTATACGAGATACGTGGTATGGTCGCTAACTAGACATGTGAACTGTGTTGTTAGAATTGTTTTAAAAAATTTTTTACTCGCATATTTATTAAAAATAATACCTAAAGTTATAAGAATAGCTTCTTTTCTTTCTTGTTTTATAGATGTTCCCACTGTCCATTGTTGCCTGAAAAATGCATTAGCCTTTAATTAGCCTATTTATTAAAAATATTGACAAATGTAGCATTCACATCAAAAGACTTGCTTGAGTTTTGTTTTTGTTTTTGTTTTATTATTTCAGATGGAGAACGTGCATCCTGTCCCAGAGGAAGAGGAGGATGATTTGTATACTGGCTACAATGATTACAATCCGACTTTTGACTCGGAGGTGCACAAATACTTGCACCTTAGACATGCATTTATTGAATGTCATAATTAGCTTTTATGCATCATGATGTTCCTGTCCCTGCAGGACCTTCACAACGATGTGGACTTTCAGCAGGCAGTCAGAACTAGTCATGGCAGAAGACCACCAGTAAGTTGTATTGTATCTGCTGATTAATCTAGAATGTCAAGCACACCAGTAATAATAAACACTAAATTAATTTATTAAATGTTTTTAGATGACTGCAAAATATCTTGGCACTGCAATTGGAGGACGACCGATTGGAACAGCTTATGGGGTAAGTAAAGCATATGGATTTACACTACTACATTTCTGACTGAAAAATTCAAAAGCTTACGTTAGAATGATAGCATGTTAGGATGTGCAATGTCTTATAATCAGGAAGACAGCTGTCAGGGCAGGAAAGGTGAAGGTCTCCAAGAGGTGAGAGATTATACAGTCAGAATCAGGACGGTCAAACATAACAAGCACATTTCTTGTTGACTGTAGGGATTGTGAAAGTTTGTCAGATGTTGGTAGTAAATTGATGCTATTTGTTTTCCATTTTTTTCTCTTTATATATCTGATGTTAATATCTAGTCTCGGATGCCTGTTGGCACTGCTATGGGAAGGCCTATGACTGGAGCTGTTCAGGTGGGACAAAGCTCTTGTTTATTGATATGCAGTCCTTTGTCATATGCTGTGAAATTGTATTAATCTTTTTGTGTATTGTACAGGACGGTGCGGCTCGTCCCATGACTGCAGTGCGAGCAGCAGGATATTCTTCATCTATAGCTAGAGGTGCGTTCACACATGAAACCCACTTGCACATGTGCTGTTCAGACACATTTTACTTGAAATATACTTAACTGCTTTATAATGATATTGATTCATACATTTTAACTCCTGAGTTGGTGAAAAATATGACAATTTCCTTCATTTTAATTGTTTGAATTTCCAGGCTCAGTGTTTGATCCCCTGGGGCAATCAAAAGGACCAGCCCCTCCATTAGAGACAAAGAATGAAGACACGTATGCATCCCTCTGCTTTCATAGTGCTTGAGAAGATATTGACAACTAGATTTTGTTTACTAGATCCCACTTTACGTCTTTAGTTTTACTTAGAGATGGACAGCTTTTTGGTCTAATTATTTTCTTGTTTAGTCCAGAGGAGAAGATAAAGATCCTCGAAAAGAAGGTGAATGATTTGATAGAGGAGAGCTGTCTTGCTCATGCTCGTGGGGATCTTCAGCTGGTAGGTATAGCTTTATAACTGCTATAAGTGATTTTAAAGAATTGTCTTTTGTATGCTAAATTAGCTTTTTTCAACAGTCTTTAGAGAAAGCCAAGGAGGCTGGCAGGAAGGAGAGGGCTTTGGTGAGACAGAGAGAACAAACAGGCACTGCAGACCACATCAATCTGGACCTGACCTTCTCTGTGAGTGCATTGCTTCATATAAAATACATGACTTGACTGAAAACTGAAAATTCACATGACTCTTTCATGCTTTGTTCAGGTGCTGTTTAATTTAGCAAACCAATATGCCAATAATGACATGTACACTGAGGCCGTGAACACTTACCAAGTCATTGTGAAGAACAAAATGTTCAATAATGCCGGTGAGCAAATTTCAAATGTGTTTTAAAATATCTCAGATTCACTCCTCTTTGATTCAAGTGTGTTTCTAACATCAGGTTTTGTGTAACTGCTTACCCTACTATAGGACGACTGAAAGTGAACATGGCAAATATCTATTTCAAGCAAAAGAACTACACAAAGGCCATCAAATTTTACCGCATGGCTTTGGATCAGATCTCAAATGCCCACAATGCAATGAGGTCAGTACTTGTAGTTGCATGTGTTGTGTGAACTGCATAATTGTTTTGCACCATTCAGTTTATGCAGGTCTTGGGTAATTTGATGTGATTTTTCAACACGTAAAGATCTCTTATTGTATAGCATCAAGATCATGCAGAACATTGGAGTTGTGTTCATACATATGGGTCAGTACTCAGATGCCATCACATCCTTTGAGTACATCATGAGCGAGAGCCCCAATATAAAGACGGGCTTCAACCTCATCCTGTGTTACTATGCCATCGGAGACCGGGAGAGCATGAAGAAAGCTTTTCAGAAACTCATTTGTGTGCCCCTCGGTATTGATGATGATGACAAGTATATCCCTCCAAATGTGAGTGCATAATTCTTTGTTAGTCATATACTTGAACTGAATTATGTCTTATTCTTCATGGATTTTTTTTTTTTAATTTTAGGATGACCCTCATGCAAACATGGTGATTGAGGCTATAAAGAATGATAAGCTTCACCAAATGGAAAGTGAGAGGTATTATAATGTATTGAACGTTCTGTTGGATCTATAATTCTTAAGCTTTGCGTTTATTATTCTCAGAATTTTTTTCAGTATTTTTGTTTTGCTTTTCTTTCTAGGAAAGCACTTGCAGAAAAATACATTATGACCTCAGCCAAGCTTATTGCTCCAGCCATTGAGTCGTCATTTGCTGCTGGCTTTGACTGGTGAGTTATTTATACTACTTTTCATAAGTTTGGGGTCAGAATATTTTTTCCCCCCAAAAAAATATATATTTTATTCAGCAAGGATGCATTAAATTGTAAAAAAAAAAGACAAAATGCTACAAAATATTTCTGTTAAAATAAATGCTGTTCTTTTGAATTTTTCCATCAGAGAATCGTGCTGATGCTAAATGTTTCTTGAGCAGCAAATTAGCATATTTAAAAATATTTCTGAAGAATTGCTGGGCGACTGAAGACTGGAGTAATGGCTGCTGAATATTCAGCTTTTCCATCATAAGAATAAATGACATTTTTTAAATGTTTAAAATAGAAAACCGTTTTTTTACATTGTAATAATATTTTACAATATTACTGTTTTATTATATTTTTGTTTAAAATGTAGTCTTAGTGAGCAGAAGAGACTTATTTCCAAAACATTAAAAAAACAATCTTACTTAGCCTAAACTTTTAAGTGGTAGTGTGTGTATTCCACAAGAGGGCGTTAAAGCGCAAGACTTGTCCATGCCATTCCATTAACAATATTTATGTATTATTTATTTTGCATAATTAATTATAGTTCATTATTATTAGTTAAGACCATTTCTAATAGACTAAAGTAAACCATCCATAGAGTTTGTCCTAAAGCTTAATTTGGTACTTTTTCAGGTGTGTGGACATGGTGAAGGGTTCACAATACGTGGAGCTTGCAAATGACTTGGAGATCAATAAAGCTATTACATACTTGAGACAGAGGGACTTCAAACAGGTAGATGGGTCCCTGGAGACACACTCAAATTATGTTGCTTTTGATATATTACCACAGAACTGAGCCATATTGCTCTATATCTGTGTGGAACCCTTGTTTCTGTCTTATAACACTTTCCACATTCAATGGTCCATTTTATTTTGTTTTCTTGCCTATCCATCTGCATGACTATTGAGGCTGAGGTATGTTTGTGTTGTTGGAGAACGTGTGTGTGTGTGGGGTGGGGGGGGGTCTTTCTGCTGTAGACCTTGTGTATATGTGTGCTGATATTGCATTCTGTTGCATTGTTTCTCTCATTTCATGTAGCAGCAAATGTAATGTGATGTAACTTAAGTGTATTTAGGTATTATTCAATGATATGATAGTGAAACATCTATCTACATTACCAATTTCCTTTAAGTCACTATAAATATGCCTAATCAATTTTGTTTCCAGGCAGTCGAGACGCTAAAGATGTTTGAGAAGAAGGACAGTCGGGTAAAAAGTGCTGCTGCCACTAATCTTTCTTTTCTTTACTTTTTGGTGAGTACAACGCTATAAAGCATTGACCTCAAAGAGCTGGTGTTAATAAGGTTCTCACAGACATGCTTTTGTTTTTTTTGCTATTTCTGTGTCTTCTCCAGGAAAAGGATTTTGACCAGGCTGACCGCTATGCTGAGCTGGCCATGAGCGCCGACCACTACAACCCTGCTGCCCTAGTGAACAAAGGCAACACAGAGTTTGTGAAGGAGGACTATGAGAAAGCAGCAGAGTTTTATAAGGAGGCTCTTCGTAATGACTCATCTTGCACTGAAGCTCTCTATAACTTAGGTCTGCTATCACAAACTTGACATCCTAAGGGTTACATCACATGAGATTTACATAAATTTGTGCTTTAACATTTCTACATTTGAAATGTTTCAGCAGAGACCAAGACTGTATATTAATAATGTAAGCAATTTTAAAGCAGAAATCTCTGTATCCTCCTGCAGGGTTGACCTATAAGAGGCTGGGTAGACTGGAGGAAGCCCTGGACTGCTTCCTTAAACTGCACGCTATCCTCAGAAACAGTGCTCAGGTCATGTACCAGCTGGCTAATCTGTATCCTTCTTTAAAATGTCAGTAATCAAAATTTAGATTAAATAAAAATGCTCTGTGATGGTTTTCATAATTTCAGTTGCCAGGAAATAGAACGGATACAGTAAGTATGGTTTTGCTTGGTAAGAGTCATATTCCCTAAGTGGCTTTAGATATGAGATGTTGGAGGACCCTCATCAGGCCATTGAATGGCTGATGCAGCTCACCAGTGTGACCCCCACAGATGCCCAGGTGCTGGCCAAACTGGGAGACCTTTATGATAATGAAGGAGACAAGTCACAGGCCTTCCAGTACTATTATGAGGTAAAAAAAACAAAACAAAGAACTATTGCAGTTAAAATTTTAGTGGATATTGTTGGGTATTCAAGTTACTCAAAGAAAGAGAATTGACAGAGGTAGCATTTAAAATAATTAATGTGTTGTTTATTTCAGTCATACAGGTATTTTCCCTCAAACATTAGTGTCATTGAATGGTTGGGAGCATATTACATCGACACCCAGTTCTGTGAAAAAGCTATTCAGTACTTTGAGAGAGCTACCCTCATTCAGTAAGTTACTAAATATGATTATTTATTAATAATTATTTATTATTATTAATATATTAAATATGATTAATTTATCATGCATATTCTGCATGTCTCTGGAGATTTTTTAAAATAACTTTTCATGAATTTCAGACCGACACAGGTGAATTGGCAGCTGATGGTGGCCAGCTGTTATAGAAGAAGCGGTATGAACTTGACAATAATAATAAATTTAACCATAAGCTGTCATCTCAGTGCCTTCAAAATCATGATTTATATTTTTCATTTGTTTTCAGGGAATTATCAGAAGGCACTTGAGACCTACAAGGACATTCATCGGAAATTTCCTGAAAATGTTGAATGTGATGTGTTCAGCAGTTATTTTCAGTTATTTTTAATTTTCTGTACCCTTCTAGAGGCTCTGAGTCTCATGTCATTTTCTGTCGGGCAGGTCTACGCTTCCTGGTCAGGCTGTGCACAGATATGGGACTAAAAGAGGTGCAGGATTATGCCACCAAACTCAAGAAAGTTGAAAAAATGAAGGAGATCAGAGAGCAGGTACACTGATTTCTCTCATACTGTTTATATGCTGGCCTCTTTTGCTTCAGAAGAGAATAGATCTGTATTGTCTTTGTTAAAAGGACCAACGAAAAAGCATTTAGCAACTTTTCAATAGCAGAATAAAAATAAACATTGTGTTTCTTCTTTTACAATTGTCCTTATTATTTATATACAATGTAAATAAAAATAGGTGAATATGTACAAATGCATATGTGCAAATAGTTGAGTGGAAGTGAGGAGTGAACAAAAGCACATAAAACTGTTTAGAGGGATCTTTCAACCAAGTGTGGAGAGTTTCAAAGTTTAGAATTTAGAACAAGAGAGAGAGAGAGAGATTACCTGGATTTCTTCTCCTGTTCCTTTAGCCAGGAAACCCATGCTTAATTACTGAGGAACAAATTGTTTGGTGGTCTGTATATGAAATATTTGAAGCTATACCTCAAAGAATAGAGCTGCAGAATATTTGACAGCATTCTGTTATTGACACACACAGAGGATGAGATCTGGGAGGGACAGCAGTGCTCGAGGCCGCAGGGAAGGCAGCGCTGGCAGTGGTGAGTGGATAGATTTAACTGAACCTCATCAATAACGTTTCAAATGAAATACTAGTCATTAACTGAATACTTGCTTCTACTTTACTTTTTCCATCGACCTCAATCTGTAATCTGCCTCTCTTGGTAAACAGGAAATACTTCAAACCTTACACACACTCTCTCTAAGAAACCCAGTGGTATGAGTGTAATTCCCCTAATATAGTGAATCCAGGTGGACGAGCTTAGTGGAGACTGCTAGCCCTGTGATGTGATATTTCAAAAAGAGAGTGCACGTGTCTTAGACAAGATTTAGATATTTTAATCCAACAACTTCCCTTTAGACCTTTGGTTTATGCTTTGTTTTAATTTATAGTGTAGTAATATTGTTATTTTATTTTATTAAAAATATTATTATTTTCGTTCTTGATTTCTCTTCTGGGACATCAGATGTGGCTCTCTTGTCAGGTGATGTCCAGTTATCAGCTTCAGGCAGTGCTGGGTTCAAAGGTCATGCAGCACATTCATTTTCAAACATCAGCCTCTTTCTGCATCTCACTGCTCTCTTCTTCCAACACTTTCTTTTCCCATCTCCTAACACATTAGGAAACGGCTCAAACCCCAAGAAGCCCAGTGGTATGATCATTCCCTGCCTCAGTAGAATAGAGCAGAAATAAGAGGAATCTACTTTAATATGAAAGTGGTTGGTTTTATAATGGATTTGGTTTGGGTTCTTCATAAATTTAATGTAGTCATAATTCTTACCACTGTGGAAAATAAGAAAAGTAAAGGGCATTCATCCATTTAGAAGTTTGGGGTCAGTAAGATTTTTTCATGTTTTTGAAAGAAGTCTCTTTAACCTCTTAAGACCCGAGAAAAGATTTTTAGGAAAAAAATAAAATAAAAAAAATGATATTTCATTCATAAGCTATGCTATGTCCTTGGTAGAGGACATCGGGACTCAATAAAAAATAAAAAAAAAAGACATGAATGAACATGCATAGGCAAAAACAATAGATTTTTAAAATCACCAATACATTTTAGAATGATTTGATATACCATTTTTCTTTCTGCAAAATGTGTGTAAAATGGCAATAAACGGGTTTTCTCATTATATACAATGCATCTATAAACTAAATCTAATTTGCATATTAATGTGCTTTTGGGGCAACATGTAATGAAAAAAGAAGTGTAATAATGGGAGTAATATTTGACATTTGAAGACCAAGGAGAGGGAGTGGTCATAGTGAAACATCCAAACAGTTAGTATCTCTGAAAAGCCATGAATGTGCTCTGTACAGGACATCTAGACTTAAAACTGTGGCATGTATAGTCTCAGAGAAATACACCAAAATATAATGTCCTCATATGAGGTCACAGGGTCTCAGGAGGTTAAGTTTTTCCAAGGCTGCATTCATATATTTTTTTATCAAAACCGTTTTATTAAAAACTAAAAAAAAAAACTATTTTCTGATTTACGTATGTCAAAAACAGTTGTGCTTCTTACTATTTTTGAGGAAAAACGTGATGCATTTTTTCCCAGGATTCTTTGATGAATAGAAAGTTTAATAAAACAGCATTTAAGTGTTTTGTAACATTATAAACTATACTGCCACTTTTGATCAATTTAATGAATCATTGCTGAATAAATAAAAAAAACATTCTGACCTCAAACTTCTCAAGAGTAGTATAATTTTTGTACAGCCATTCAGACACAGCATATAATCACAATCATGAAATCACTCATATTGGGACAGTAATGGGACAGAACTGAATTTCATTTTCTTTTCCTGATCTGCATTCTCTTTCACTTTATATTGTAAGCCTCGTCTTCATTTTGTTAGTAATCTGTTATTCTCTTTTATCTCTATTATTCTGTTCATGGCTGTGCACCTGAAAGGGAGCAGCTCAAGCCCCATCAATACCCCTCCTCTGAGAGCCAGTGGTATGACTACACACACTACAGAAATACATTAGAGGAAGAGCTCACACACTCCTCCTGTGCAACTATAAAACAAGCATGCCATTGCATTCTGCTCAAGAAAACACTGCTGCTACTGCACCCGTTAGTCAGCTTTGTTACGGATGCCATTCATTCCTCACATTCTGCCCGGCAGTCATAACTAAACTCAACAACACATAATACTGTTTACCACTTTATTCACAAACAATCTTCATTGTTGTATAGCACAACCTAATTTGAAAGCCTCAGCTCTCTGCTCTCTGTCTAGCCTTTCCACTGTCTCTTCAGAGTTCTGTCTTCTTCTCTTTCCTTTCTTTTCTCTGCAGTTTCTCGCTCAGAAGCTAAGTATAGTCCTGTGCTGGAGTAGGGCAGAGGTATGTACTGTATTACACTGTGCAGTTTAGATGATCAGTCCTCTAGACGATTAAACACAAAAAATCATAGCTGCAAGCTTCATGGAAAACTTCAAACCCATTGCCCAGTCCATATGTCAAAATGTTGTTTTTAATGCCTGTAGTTCCCTGTAATGATACAGCGTCCAAGGACATAAATTCAGTCACAGCACAATAGAGCAAACATGTGCTGTGAAAGCCCTATCTGCCAAAACCACTGTTTCCAGGGAATATCCCGCTCTCACCGTCTGACAGAGTGTTTCCAGCACCTTCTTTCTGTTTGCAAAGCACTGAGTGCAAATAAACCAGTGAAATATTTCACAAGTACACTCCTGAACAACAGTATTCCAGTATCAGAGCGCTTGATCTCGCTGTACTCTGTACTTTGATTCTGGCTTGATTCCTCAGTCAGATGTACATGATAGGATAAACTACTGTATGTCAGCAATATGTTTTTCATTTTAATGCCTTTGTGTTTTGTCGTTGGGACGGTTAAATATAATTACCTGCCTGCGAAACTCCGGTCTCACATCTGCCCCTCGGTGCTCTGTTCCTGTCGTCACAGCTGAGATGTGAAATGCAGCTGTGTGCCGTTGTCTTTATGCAACACAAATGCTTTCCATAATGCAAGTCATATGGTTGCAGAGTGAACTCACTTTAATTAGGATTCTAGTGTCACATAGACGTTGCTTCAAGTGCAAGCTGGAGCTGTTGTTTGTCATGCTTTTTGTTTTGTTTATCAGCATTCTCTAACATTTGTTTTGTTGTAGCGTTTAAGCATGGTTTACATTGTTGATGGTGGCAAGTCAAATGCGAATGCCTTTTTTTCTCTTTTGTTCAGAAGAATCTGACCAGACACTACTGTAAAATAACTCTCACTCCAGAGATGTTTTCAAGTTCAACGCTGGCTCTTTTGGATGTGTTTTCTCAGACAGTGGACAGAGCAACCATGGCACCAGCGCCAAGGGTGAAAGGCTTAGCGTTAAACTGAAAACTCTTCCAGGGTCCAATGAGCCGTATGAGGCCAGCACTCAGCAGGAAATAGGTAAGAAATAACATCAATCATCATATGTGACTGATAAACAATCTAGGAAAGATTAAATTTGTGGTAGAATACTTAATTTTTCAGTACACAAACAGTAGGGCATGCCACTAGCAATACCAAGGTTCAATCCTCAGGGAATGTGTTAACTGATCAGTTGTCCACTTTGAGTTCAATATAAGTTGCTTGGATAAAACCCACTGTTAAGTGTTAAATGTATGATGATAAAATTATTACATTTCTGTAATCATCTTACCTTTTTTTCTGGCTGGTTTATTTAATAGCTTTAATAGTTTTCTCTTTCATGTGAAGGAAAGCAAGCTTCTGCCCTGGTCTGTGCTTGTTAAAATGCATTGCTTCCATTGCATTCATCATTTTAGATGCTTCGTATGTCGATCCTTTGGGGCCTCAAATGCAGAGACCGAAAACTGCAGCAAGAAAACGCACTGAGGAAGATGAGTTTGCTGATGAAGAGCTGGGAGATGACTTGCTGCCTGAGTGATGTGTGCAATGGATATCAATTAAGTGGAATATCTAATATATGTCAAGACACTAAATTTGTCTGTATTTTTTAGTACTGTATTTTTAGTAGTCCTAAAATACTAATTCTTTTCCAGGCATCTTATATCTCATTTCATTATGCTTTACTATATTTTGTAATAATACATAATAAATTTAGGGATAATACAGTTTATTCCAAATTATTTATTTCATTCATTTTGTGCATTGTAAAGACATCAACTTTTGTACTATCTGCATACAATGATGGTAAAGATGTAAGTGTAAATTATTAAAGTACAGTATAGACCAGGGTTCCTCAAATCTTGCCCTGGAGGGCCAATGCGCTGCAGAGTTTAGCTCCAACCCTGAACAAACTCAGCTACCTGTGATTTTCTAATGATCCTGAAGACATTGATTAGCTTGCTCAGGTGTGTTTGATTAGGGTTGGAGCTAAACTCTGCAGGAAAGTGGATCTCGTGGGCCAGATTTGAGGATCCCTGGTATAGACTTTTCTTTGGTATCTAATGATTCAATCTCTTAAATATCTCAAAGGAATACAGAACATTCCAGGGGGGAAAAAATAATAAAAGTGAATTTTTCACATCAGCCCAAGCAGAGCATGAGTATTATTAAGTATCAAACAGTCCGCCCAATATCTGGAGTCAAGTATCATGAGCGCATTTACGGGACGGGCGGATGAGCTGCTTTACGCAACAACTGGTGTTGCTTCTGTAGGTCGGTTAAAGGGCTCTCCAGAGATTTACTTTATTATCTTTTACAGCGATCCCTTCCTGGCAGTAAAGCGCGTTTAGACACGGTGTAATCTGAAATGCGCGGTCGGTTTGCGTCGACGCTTGTGTTGGTGTTGCTGTGGTGTTGCGGCAGCGCGCCGGGTGAACGGGGACTGAAGGTGTCCAGGAGAGCGCCGAGGACTCGCTCCTGTCTGGACTTACCGGAGGAGATTTTGGAGCAGATGTTCGGGAGGCTCTCGGTCGGCGTTCTCAGCGCGTTTCATCACACCCTGCAGCTCGCGCCTCCAGAGCGACAGAATCTGACCTGTCAATCAGCGTCTCGCCTTGCGCGCGACAAACCGCGTACCTCTGTCAACTTCCTCAGCCTCTCGCCCTGGGCGTACAGGTAGGACCCCAAGACTAAGACTAGGATGGGAATACTAAACAAGTAGTTTAACCATTTAGTGCTTATGAGGAAGCAATATTTAGAAATATTTTTTGGACTAGGCGGCATGAATGCAATGCCGCAATTGTACCCTAAAAATACAAACAAAATTGTTAATAATTCATACGTTAACAACAACAACAACATCATAAAGTACAACAAAATATCATAAAAATATAGGCTACTCGTGTGTACGTTAAATCAATAACGTCAAAACTACCCAAAAAAATCTGAAGACTTGAATGTATCGGCTACCACAATTTTTTTTGTGTTATTTCGAGTCAAAGATGGCTAAAGAAGCCTAATAACATACGGTTCGGTAAATCAGATTAATTCAATAACCGTAACGCCTGATTCACACGTGTTTTGATTAAGAATCATTCAATCGGGAATCGATTTTGTTTCGGTCATGAAAATGATTCTGTTCTAAAGAAGAACCAGTTGGATTGTGTGTTCCCGACTCCAATCCTATAAGATTTGATGTCTCGCCTATTTGTCTGCAAGAAAAAATAACTTTTTTCATTATTATTCATCCAAGAATCTCCCATGATCCAGCGAGGTACCCTCGATATCTCCCGGAGGCGTACTGTTTGTGTAAGGGATGCCTGAGCGGACCGAACGGGGAGGAAAGTGAGCGCCTCCGCAGCACTCCAGTGTTCATGCCGACCGTCATATTGCGCCGGACCGGCTCGTGCGTCGGGGGCCGTCATTCCTACACGGAGAGCTACGTGTCCATCGCCGTGGGTTGTACTTGTGTGCCATTGTTGGAAAAAGACAGAAAAACACAGAAGGGCAAGCCAAGCGTGAAAAGAGTATGGTCTAAAAATTTCAGCACCTTTAGAAAGAATGGACTGAACTGATCCATTTTAGATTTTCTTTTTCTGTGTCAGTTTTCTTATTTCCTTCATTTTTTCTTTTAGTCGGTGAAAGGAAAACTTGAGACAGAACTTGCTCTCACAGCTGCAGATTCTAGTCTGCAGTGCCAAGCAAAAGGAAAACTTTCTGTGCCAAAATACAAACATTTTCTAATCCAAAGTACTTTGAGAAAGCCAGTCAGCATCATGGTGTTAGATAACCAAATACCGTTCAGATGTATTCAAGTATACAGAAAAACACTAGAAATGCTTCTGTTAAAGGCAAACAAGGTTATCATTTACAAGAAGACATATATTTAGCATGACTTTGGGTCAGTCCTCCTATGATTACTTTATTAAAACAACAAGAACACTGATATCGCACAAGTCTAGTGTATAGTATATTATATACAAATGCATTTCAAACATTCACTTCAAGCCCATTTTATGCATTGAAACAAAGTTAAACTGTCTGAGATTGTTTGCTTCAATTTTATGCCGGAAAGCCGGGTGTGCAATTGACAATGCAAGTCAGCCAAAGTATAATCAAAGACTGATCGCAGATCTCTGATGAAGGGCCAAATCCTCTGCTCTAATATCTGGATCCTGCTATGCACCTCTTGGAGAGAGAGTATTTATTGTTCCAAATAATCATCTGCTGATGTTTAATAGGAAAAAACAATGTTCAAATGTTGTCAGATTGAAAGCCTTTTTCATGAGAGAAGGCTTGATTCATAGTTAACATAGCAGCGGAACTCATTGGCCAGATTGTGATTGTGTTTTGGTAAAAAACTGCATATCTTCAAATCCATAAGTTTCCCAGCAAGCTCCTCCATAATAGCTCCTATAAGAATAAGCTAAAGGTGAACATGAACAAGACATAAAACACGAGTTCTTCTAAAAAAAATCTGCAACATTATATATGTATATATATACACATTTCCACTTGCCTGTGCAGAGCAGGATTTTACCCTTAGTGAGGTATTTAATGGTGAGGAGCACCTTGCTGAGACACTCTTCAGACAGATACGGAGGGTCTGCGATGACAATGTCAAAGCTCTGAGGAAGCAGACCCTCAGGCAGGCACAGAGGGTTGTTGTAATCATAAAAGACAAACTCCTCTCCATATGCTGCGAAACGTCGGTCAAACTCCAGCAAAACAGCAGACACACTGTCTGACCTCGTGGATTCCAACTGTTTCAGCTTCTGATACACACTTGGTGCACTTATACAAGCTATCCTACAAATCAAGAAAAAAACATTGGAGTGAGAGGGGACAGAACGGAGCAGTAATATATATTGGGGTCAGTAAGATTTTTTTCAAAAAGAATGAAAACTCATTCAGAAAGGATATATTAAATGGATAAAAAGTGAGAAATCTTTTGTAATGACGTAGAAGTCTTTACCATTTTAAATAAATGCCGTTCTTTTGAATGTTATGTTCATCAAGAATGTATCATGGTTTGCACAGCTGTTTTCAACATTGATAATAAATGTTTCTTGAGCACCAAATCAGCATATTAGAATGATTTCTGAAGGATCACGTGACACTAAAGACTGGAGTAATGACTGCTGAAAATTCAGCTTTGCCATCAAAGAAATCAACAAAAATTTGTAAATGATATTCAAATAGAAAACAGCTATTTCAAATTGTCAAAATATTTGTAAGACACTTCTTTTAAAATCATAAAAAACACCCAAACGGTAATATATGTATATAGAAGTACATTTAACATTTTAAATGTTTTGTCATTTAGTTAACCAATATACAGCACAATCAGTGATGCACAACTTGTCACACTTTAGTTAAATTTGGTGTTTTGAATCCAAAAAACACTTGTGTGACTCCTGTAGGTCAAGCTGTCAAATGTCACAATGTTTATACAAGATATTCTACACCCCAGGAAAAAATATTTGATTGAGAGGTGAAACATGATAATGGAGCAGTAATTTATACTGGGGTCGGTAAGTTTTTTTTTCTCAAAAAGAATGACACTAAAGACTGGAGTAATGACTGCTGAAAATTCAGCTTTGCCATCAAAGAAATCAACAAAAATTTGTAAATGATATTCAAATAGAAAACAGCTATTTCAAATTGTCAAAATATTTGTAAGACACTTCTTTTAAAATCATAAAAAACACCCAAACGGTAATATATGTATATAGAAGTACATTTAACATTTTAAATGTTTTGTCATTTAGTTAACCAATATACAGCACAATCAGTGATGCACAACTTGTCACACTTTAGTTAAATTTGGTGTTTTGAATCCAAAAAACACTTATGTGACTCCTGTAGGTCAAGCTGTCAAATGTCACAATAATGTTTATACAAGATATTCTACACCCCAGGAAAAAATATTTGAGTGAGAGGGGAAACATGATAATGGAGCAGTAATTTATACTGGGGTCGGTAAGTTTTTTTTTCCTCAAAAAGAATGAAATGAGTAGTAGCCCAGGAAAAAATATTTGAGTGAGAGGGGAAACATGATAATGGAGCAGTAATTTATACTGGGGTCGGTAAGTTTTTTTTTCTCAAAAAGAATGAAATTAGTATTTCCCCACTCAATGAGATATAAGAACAATTACATGTAAATGTTAATTACATATAAATGAGTTTTTCCATGCCTACGATCGACGTGTTTTAATGAATTGGTTGAGTGAATGTTTGAGAAGGGTCTGTTTCGCTCACAGCACAATAAAGAAAAAAAACCTTCAGTTGTTGCCTCCTACTGGTGTATTGACCTCTGGTAAAGGCCATTAAACGAATCAACGGTAGTGACCAACCATCACTACTGACCTTCTGTTCTACACAAGCCAAAACAATTGCACAAATGTAAAATCTGGCCAAAGGCGCTTGAGACCAACCTCCCATGTTCTCCAGCCTGCTGCATGACTTCCTCTGCTAACCGTATAGCCGTGTCTTCACTGGACCAGAACTGACTCATGCGCTGATCACACAAACACACGAGCTGGTTACTGATCTCAGATACATAGCCTACTTGTGTATAACAAATAGTAAATATAACAATCAACAAATCACCACGCAAGACACTTCTAATGCATGTATTGTACCCAGTCTTCCTCTACAGCACCAACGCAGAACTTGGCACATCGTCGTCGCTGTCACTCATGATAACAGATCTTCATAACAAAGTGACAAGGGAACGCATAAACATTCAGCGTTAAACGCTCATTCAAACATGATGCTAACGGTCGCAAAACATACTTAATACAAACGTAACTTACGTTTTACACTTACCTAACCAATGATCGACGCCGTTACAGTGTGTATTTAAGCAGTAACTTACAAACTTACAACAGAGAAACAGAACGGCTTCACGTGTTTACAGTACGGTGGCCGAGGGAGTACAATCGCACTTGGTACTAACGCGAACACACGCGCATATTTCCAGACCAGATATTTCATTAAGACAGACACCATATTGAAAATGTAGACCAAGAAAGACCACTCACTTTTTATAGCAAGTTTATATACACTTTACAGATCATTTCAGGCATTCCAAAATAACAATTAGTGCTTTCAACAACGGAAATAAAGACTATCAAATGCCCTGAATAAAACAGCTGACATCCCTCGATCATCATTTTTGGTATTTTATTGCTACAGCAACGTCGACTGTTCCACAATTCTGAGTTTGTGTGTGCGTGCTAGTGTAAGTGGAACACTGTTTAAGTTATTTTTGAAAAACAAAACCTCATTGGGAACATCAGGCGATTGTGTGAATAATGTCCATCATAATTCAACAGACCTGTATTTTTGTCGAGAACGCTTTCAGTGATACTGCTGCGATCAGGGCGAAATGACAATGGCAAACAGTAAAACTACAATCATTCAAATCAATCAGAAAGAAAAATTCAAACTAGCCCCTTGTCCTCCTGGTGAAGTTGTATAACAATAAAAAAAATAATCATAAAGTTCCATCAACTATAATCTTATAAAAACCTTTCAGTCCTTTTAAACACTTTTTTGAAAATATATATACAACCTTGAACACAAAAGTGATTTGGTTTTCCAAAAGGGCCTTCCTGCAATTAAAGTTTCATTGGGAAAGGCTTTTTCGTTATCAAGGCAACCACAGCTCACAATCCTAGTTACCGTGATAGCAGTACGACACTGTTCTATTCGTCGCTGTAGACACAGCTGGATCCAAGCCGTGAGAAACCACATACAAAGGCACTCGAGGAGAAGCGTCTGCAAAAGACTTGTGTGTTTGTGTCTAAGGGGAAGGAAGGGGTCAGTTTTTAGAAAGATTACCCCTCTGCATTTCATAAACGTTCATCTGAGGAGCTCTCCGTGGCAAAGTAAACAATGGTCAGATCAGACTGAGACGATCACGACCGGCCGTCCCCTCACGGCCTTCGCCAGCCTCTCTCTGTTCTCTGTCTGAATGCCCAGAGGCGTCTCAGCATCTCCATGGTTTGGCATGGTGAAAGGCTTCTCTGAGTGGTAGAGGGGGTGGAGAGGGAAAGCTGTTGTGGACAGTTGCTAGAGGAAGTGGCTTATTTGACACACAGAAGCCCCCCCACATTGGCAACAAACTCCTCCAGGCTCTTCAGGAAGGCCACCTTCTGCTTGCGGTCCATGGTTGGAGGCGTGCTGCTGGCAGTGAGGCTGTTAAACGCGTCTGCCAGCCGCTGGTAGATCACAGCGTCCCTCTGATTGGAGAGCAGCGTCTCCACCAGCTCTGAATACTCCGCCTGAGACAAACGCCATCACTTATCAAACACTACATCGACCGCTAATGCATCACAAGATCATGCATGTCGTTCAGTTCAAATTCATATTGTAAGCATAAAACGTACCTGGTGAAGGCACACTAGTGTATAGAGCGCTTCTCCAGCTGCTACGGTCATCTCAGTGTTGTGCTTCTGGAGCACAAGCATGTCAAACACCAGCTATGCAGGAAGAGAGAGTGACAGAGAAATCTACATTATTAAATCAACATTTTATACATGTGTATTAATCTCAGAAAATTACATATTACAATGAAGGTTAGTGACATTAGCAAGTTTGACCATTCTGAGATCACTGACATCAGCCAATAGCTCTCAATTAATACTGACAAGAAATAATACTGACATATTTGTCATCCCTTTTATGCAAGTTCATATCTACTGACTATGGATGCCCGTTTCCGCCACTTAATAAATAAAAAAAGGTCATTGCGACACTTAATCTCACAATTCTGACTTTTTTCTCGCCATTACAAATGAACATCTAGCAACTTTTTTTCTCAGAATTGTGATACAAACTCGCAATTCTGACTTTTTTTCTCAGAATTGTGATACAAACTCACAATTCAGACTTTTTGTCTCAGAACTGTAAGAAATAAACATACAATTGCGAGCTAGAGTCAGAATTGTGATATAAACTCGCAATTCTGAGAACATAATCAGTCATTTTTCTGAGAAAAAAAGTCAGAATTGTGAGATAAGTCGCAATTTTTTATTTATTTTTTAATTCAGTGGCGGAAATGGGCTCCATAACTGACAGCCTTGTCAACAGAACATTTTTTTTAAAACATTTTGAGTAAATATGATGTAAAACGTGTTTACTTTTTCATGCTGAGATGCATTTAAATGTTCTCTTTTGTCGTTGTATTATGTACACTGTTCAAAAGTTTGGGGTCAGTAAGATTTTTGTTTTTGAAAGAAATTATTTTTATTAAACAAGGATGAATTTAATTGATCAAAAGTGACAGTAAAATAATTTTTAAATTTTCAAAAAATGCTGAACTTTCTATTAATCAAAGAATCCTGAAAATATATCACAGTTTCCACAAAAAATATTAAGCAGCATTTTCAGGATTGATAAAATAATAAGTGTTTTTTTGAGTGCCAAATCAGCATATTAAAATGATTTTGGAGTTATGACTGCGAAATCAACATTTTAAATTGTAACAATATTTGCCAATATTACTGTTTTACTGTATTTTTGATAAAATAAATGCAGCCTTGGTGAGCAGAAGTGACTTCTTTCAAACAACCATAACCTTACCAGGCCCAAAATTTTGAACTTTTGCGAATGGCAACGTCGCCTGTTAAAAACCCACAACAGTTGACCACTGGTTTAAACATCATGTGACTCACTTTAAGGAAATGTCGTGTGGCAATAAACAGGGGTGTGTCCTTTTCCTGTGTCTTGGCGCACTGCTCAGCCAATGGGGACAGAGCCTCCAGACAGAGCTGACTGATCTCTGAGCTCATCCTGCAGTGTGTGTTAAGGAAAAACACTAGGCCATACCCACCATAATTCAACAACAAAAACTCTCAACAAGGAAATCAAACACAATATGCTTAGCAAGCACAGACTTTAAATAACGTTACTCTCTTCTGTATACACAAAAACAGCAAGGATACGAGGTCATGCCAAGCTCCAGGGAGCACATGAGACTTTTGAAGAGCTCCTCAGGCAGCTGAGGGATCTTCTCTGGGAAAATCTCACAGATGAAGGTGATGAGCTTATAATACTGGTTACACAGAGAAGGGAACTGGGTACAAGAGAAAGAAAGATTGTTTCAATACTGTACCACACCTTTTACTTTAAGCATCAGAGTTTGCTGTCAACTGATGTAAGAACATCTTCAATTAATCATTTTCAAATTACAGCTCAAATTTTACCTTAAGCAAGTCCTGAGACATGAGGGGCAACACAATATTCACCCCATACAGCACAACATCAGCAGCTGATACGGCCCGTCCAGCGCCAGAGCTCTGCTCTTGCCCGCGAAACACCTCATCTGCACAGAAAACACGGTTCCTCCTCATCTCTCATGTAAACGCTCACAAGCTATGATGCAAATGACGGGAATCATGAATGAACGCTCATACCAGTGTCACTGAAGTCAATGAACTCTTTGGAGAGCAGGTTGGTGAGGAGCTCCATGATGAGCAGAAGGTCCTGGTACTGGTCCTCCTCTGCGGCTACATCTAGTCTCTTGCGACCCAAATTGTTCTTGGAGTAAACCTGCAGCAGCGTCAAGCACACCTCGTACAGTTTCATAGACTTGGTCTGTGGAGACAGAGATGTGGTGCGTTGAAAAACATATTCAGGATGCGTACATCAAAATCAATGCAAGCGCTAATGTCTCACTTCGCCCAAGTAGCAGATTTGTTTGTGGGCCACTTCCACAAACACCTCTATGATGAGGTTGACCGTTTCTGGTGAGTTTCTGTAGACCTCCATGAGGCCGATGCAGCTGGACAGGAAGTCCATGAGGAAGCTGAAGAGAGATGCCACATTGTCGATCTGCGTTGCTTCTGCGATGCCGCACAGAGCTTCCAGAGTGGCAACGATCTCCTGCTTCACGGCTTCCTCTTGACAGATCTGGGCGAAGTTCTCCTGGTTAATGAGGTTGAGGAAGCGCTGCTGGAGTGGATGCAGTACCTGCAGTGCAGAGACAGAGAGAGAGAGAGAGAGAGAGACAAAGAGTTACGAGGCCATGCTTCATAAACTGCATTGTGTTCTCATTAGCAATAATGCTTGATCTTCCAAATATATGTCTATAATAATTTTCTCCTCACCTCGGCCCAGTATTGCTGTTTGGTATCAGAATCCATATGAGCAAAGCCGCCCAGGACCAGGGCTTTCATTAGAGTCCGCTGGACTGTGCTGGACAGCATATGTAAGGGAGGGCTGCGACTGGCAAACTGCTTGGCCAAATTCCACCAGTTCTCACACTGCACAACTATATTCGCCCTGAACCGTCAGAGGAAAGAGTTGAGAAACACAAATGAACAAGCCTCATATCACATTTTACTGAAAGGTTAATGGAACAGTTCAACCAAGAAATCATCTTTCAATCAATCACTCATGACATTTCAGACCTGTATAACATTCAAATGTGTTGCATCACTATTATTTGTGAGAGATGCAAGAGTTTGAATTTGCCAAGTTTGAACATGCACATAAACTAGTCCAAAAGTTTGGGGTCAGTAAGATTTTTTTGTTTTAAACTTACTGTTATTCAGGATGCATTAAATTGATCAAATATGGCAGTCAAGAAAATTACAACCTTACAAAGGATTTATATTTCAAATAAATGCTGTTTATTTTGAACTGCTGCAGGAATCCTAAAATAATGTCTCACATTTTTTCACAAAAAAAATATTAAGAGGTACAACTGATTTCAACCTTGATAATAAATGTTTCTTGAGCATCAAATCATCATATTAGAATGATTTCTGAAAGATCATGTGACACTGAAGACTGGAGTAATGAAGCTGAAAATTTAGCTTCTCCATTACAGGAATAAATTACATTTAAACTATTTTAAAATAGAAAACATTGTAAACATTTTAAATGGTAAACAATTTTTTTTTTTACAATATTACTATTTTTACTGTATATTGTTGTTTTTACTTCTTTTCATATTTACTGGG